AGTGCATATTATTGGTTCATTGATAGTATATGCAGTCTGAATGATTTTTTGAACATTTTCATATTTAGAGTACCACTGAACAAATTTTCATACATATTTATCATCGTAGGTGCAGAACGTTCATAGAATATGATGAGGATAGAATATTTCATTCAAATTACCTAGGTACGTTCCTAGAATATTCCATTATATTCTATGAATGTTATGTTCTGATCGAATATTCTAGGCATGTTCGCCAGGTATGTTCATAGCATTCATCATTTAGATACTCTGAGAAAGAGAATAATTTTTGTTTCTTATGCACATACTATATGTCCTAACTTGCTTCGTTTTTGATATTCATTCAAAATCCTTTTCACTGATCTTGATAAAACCTGTCACGCTCATCTGCGGTAGCAATAGGGTTTAGTGAATTCAAATTTACCGCTGTTTTCTCCAATTTCTTTCTTCCTACTCTACTCGAGTTATAACTCAGAATAACTCAGAAGTTTTTATCTTTCCTTCCAGGGCTTATATTTTCCTCATATTTAGGGTGTTTCATAGGTAAAGAGATAGGGGTCACTTAGGTGGTTCTGAAAGTAGGTACCATATTTGATGAGTATCACTGTCTTTAACGGAGATACAGTGTGATTTATCGATTTCGAATAATGATTCACTCGTCCATAAGTATTCAACTACCCAGTATATTTTCCTCAAATTTGGTATAGAGATTATACTTGGGACGTTGAATTCATTGGTCTATCGGGCGGAGTGGAAATCCAGGTTCGGCTTAAGGAATAAATTACATTTATTCGAAAAATAAAAGAAACACACTGTATTCAATAATTAACAAAGTTCAACAAAAGAATCGTGAAGAGGAGGAAAAACTGAATTGAATTCGATACTTTTTGTTCTCCCGCCACCAATTCTCATCGTAATAACACTCATAAACAGAAAGTTGAAAGTATGTCAATTTGAAAGGTATTAAAGTTATGAAACTTAAACCAGTTTTAATTATAAATAGTTGATATCTACTAGTTGATTCATCGATCGAAAAATAAATAAGAAAGTTTAAACCATTTTTTTCCTGGAATTTGAAGGAGATATTTCTCTGAATCGAATTTAACACAGATCCAGGAGGCTAGAACAAATACTTATCATTTTTTGACAGCTAATGATAACATGTCATATTTCATTGTTTAATTCATAATATCTCATGAGTATATCAAAGTGAAATCACCTTTCCGAGTTGAACAACAATGCCGTACCAATTTTCAAATCAAGAATACGCTGATATCATATTCATTTATGGATTATGTAATGGTAACGGAATTGCTGCAAGCAGAAAATGTGCCACAAGATTCGCTGCACGACGCGTAGGTACCAAACCACAAGACATTTATTCGCGTTTTACAACTACATCAGAGAACATGGACGATTTCCTACTGCAGTTTTGAATGATTGCAATGGAAGAAGACATTTAGGTGCAGAAGAAAATATTCTGAATATTCTACAAGATCACCCCAGAATTAGTACAAGTAGACTTGCTCATGCCGTGAATGTCCCTCATGTAACTGTCTGGCGGAGATTATTAAAAAAAAAAAGTAAATTGTATCCATTTCATGTACAACAAGTGCAGAAGTTAGGACCAGCAGATGAGATTCCACGTCAGAATTTCTGTAGATGGATTTTGAGGAATAACAGGCTGGTGCATATAGACTGTTGGCCCGCGACACAGGGTTTATCGATGTTCTAAGTCGGCATGCCATTCAGGGGACCCACTCACTCAGTCCGAGTTAACAATAAGAAGTGCCTCGGAGAGTCGCAACCCAGTCCTTGCCCCAGCCCTGTCCTCACCTTTCGGTTAGAAAAACGTTCAAAATTTAGTTTAAGAAGAAGCTCAGCAATGAAGTGCAATGATCTTATCTCACGAAAATTGGGGCGCTGGCCGGTTTGCATACGCCTAGGTCACTCCCCAAGGGCGGCATACGAACCGGAAGTGGGAATTTTTCAGTGTTATAGTCGATGATCGAAGAATGTATGCCGTTTGGCGAAACAATGAATTCTGACCCATTAATCAGTTTCCCGACATTTGCAGACGATTCCGGAGAGGCGAGCTCGATTTATTCGAACATCATTTGACTGGATATTCTTCAAATAATCGATAATCGAAGAAATGTTCATATTTTGACAATAGTTAGTGGACCACAAAGTATATATGGGATGATGGTTTGCATACAATTTGCACATTCCGTACAGGGTGTTTCACCATAAATATCTCCCATTGTAACTTAGTTGATTCTGAACCGAATTTAAAATTTAAAAACCAATTAAAATGATTTTCCTAAGAGATTTTTCATTGTTATCAAAAAATTCACAGGCTGTTCATAACAAATGAACTATGGGATAGTGGTTGATTTTTTTTTACTGGAACACTATATTTTATTTCACTATCGAGTTGAGATTGTCATGACGTATCTACAGCATCTAGCGATATCATTTACACGCAGCACTCTCATATATAGCGATCATGCGCCAAATTGTCAAATTGTGCCAGAAATATGAATCCCGGGTTTGAAGTATTTCCTTTTTTTTGCTGAAACAATTGTCATATCTGAACAATGATTTGCTGCGTCAGCCGGGTAGAGTGTAGCACGTCATGATTTAGGCATTCAATAATGTTCTTCCCCTTTATCGGAGATCTGATATTTAAATATCTGAAAAACCATTTACTTTTGTATAATGTATATTACAGATTTATTCACTTTCTACTGGCTCCCCTACCAGTGGTAAGAATCGGATTACCATTAACCCTGTATTTAAGTGCAGCGTGTGAATCTTATCGCTAAACGCCAGTCAACTATACTGGGTTTGATGAAGTTATGTCATTGTCAGTTACATAAAAAATAATGGAGAGGGCTGGGCCCTTGATACTTTTTTGGGTACGATTTCAATTGGTACCTTGGTGAAGCTCTTCCAGCAGAGGTTGGTGATATCATAATCTCTGAGACCTCAACTGAGAAAGTAGGTATCAGGTATATCTTTCGAGCATGCCAAGATTTTTCAATAATCAAATAATATTCTAACTAACAGGTACTGATGACAACTCTGGAGAATCATCTTCAGACAGCGAGAGCAAAGATGACTCTGAAGATAATGATAGAGGGGACGTCGTATAATTTTTCTTTTGAAACATAATGTTGTTTTCATTTTCAAATAATTTTTATTTATGTGAAGAACAAAGATGTAGATTGAAGTTCAGGATACAGACCCCATACTATACCCAAAACATTCAACAAATTGAATGTACATTCTTTATATATTTTTCAGACGCCAGTATTATGATGAGCATTCCCATAAGCCCCAGGAAAGAATTTCAATTCGATTTATTGTGAGTTTCGATCATGAGCAATAATCCCTGTACGATTCCTCTTGATCATCCTGTGAGTTTCTTGTTGTCACTTCTTTTCATCATCATTTCGAAGCCCTGTTTTTCAAATTAAAATCACAAAAAACAATTTCTTGGTACTAAACCTCTCACACATGTAATTTTGTTGAGCTGTAAATTTCTGATGAATAAATAAAAATATATCTGCAATTTGCGCATTCGAATATCCCCATCACTCCCAGGAAGTCTTTCTCTGACCCGGTTTCATGTGAAGTGAGATTATGATTATCTAGTTCGCTTTCGGTGCACCTCTGGCCTGAAGTGGGGGCGCCGCGCCGGACCGAGGCACGCGCGGGTTTGCCCGATTATTACAACGTATGCTCACATCGAATTCGTATGCAAATAGCAGCCAGTTATAAAGAATATCCTAGTTTATCGGTCTAGAGATTTGCATACGAACTTGAATCATCGATTATTTGAAAGATGTCTAGTCAATTGATGTTCGAATAAGTCGAGCTCCCCTCTCCGGAATCGTATGCAAATGTCGGGAAACTGATTAATGGGTCAGAATTCATTGTTTCGTCAAAGGGCATACATTCTTCGATCATCGACTATAACACTGAAAAATTGCCACTTCCGGTTCGTATGCCGCCCTTGGGGAGTGACCTAGGCGTATGCAAACCGGCAAGCGCCCCAATTTTCGTGAGATAAGATCATTGCACTTCATTGCCGAGCTTCTTCTTAAACAAAATTTTGAACTTTTTTCCAACCGAAAGGTGAGGTCAGGGCTGGGGCAAGGACTGGGTTGCGACTCTCCGAGGCACTCCTTCCTGTTAACTTGGACTAAGTGAGTAGGCCCCTTAAATGGCACACCGACTTAGAACATCGATAAACCCTGTGTCGCGGGCCAACAGCCTAATAGGATATTATTCACAGATGAAGCTCAATTCACTAGAGACGGCGTTTTTAATTCTCGCAATACCCATGTTTGGGCAGAAGAGAATCCTTGCGCTACCAGACAAAGTAACTCCCAACATAAATTTTCCATCAATATTTGGTGTGGTGTCTTGAATAATCATCTAATTGCCTCATGTTTTGCCAACAAGATTGTCTGGTGAAGATTATTTGGATTTCATTCAAAATATGTTACCAGTTTTGCTGCAGGATGAAGATATTCGAGGAATGTATTTTCAACATGATGGTGCCCCTCCACATTTCAGAATCATTGTAAGAGATTTCCTGAATGATAACTTTCCCGATATGTGGATAGGAAGGGGTGGTCCTCATAAGTGGCCTTCACGATCCCCAGACCACAACCCATTGGATTATGCTTTTTGGGGATATTTGAAATGCAAAGTTTACTCAGAACAAATTGATACTAGAGAGGACCTAAGAAACAATCCCGGCATCATTAGAAAATCCGTAAGACATATCATAAAACGTGCAAGGAAATGAATAGACCAAAACGGCGGACATTTTGAACATGTGTTATGAAAGTATTCAATTATTACCTCCTTGTATGAATTTTATTTTTTTATCCTTCAATTTGAGCTTTCAACAGGATGTTACTCTTTGAATTCCCTACGTTGTTTGATTTCATAGAAATACCTAGCGAAACTCATTATAATTAAGATCACCGCTGATTTTGAAAAAGAATAGTAGGTGTACCTAATTCAATATTTTGTCCTAATATCGGTCCTACAGTTACCATATGGAACTGTTCTGAGACAGGCAAACAACAAGAAATATCTTACGCACTAGCATTTATTTATAATTTTTATACTTCGAAATTAACATAATTTCAACATTCTGCTTCAGAATGTTACCATTAGAATTAGTTACAGTGAATACGAGAAGTACCTAATCTAACTAAGTTTTTTCGAGTGATTATTCAACTGGTAGATATCGAATAATAATTGTCAAATTGGTTTCATAACTTTAAATACTCTTCAAATTGACATACTTTCAACTTTCTGTTTATGAGTGTTATTACGATGGGAATTGGTGGCGGGAGAACAAAAAGTATCGAATCCAACTCAGTTTTTTCTCCTCTTCACGATTCTTTTGTTAAACTTTGTTGATCATTGAATACAGTGTGATTTTTTTATTTTTCGAATAAATGTTTTTCCTTAAGCCGAACCTGGATTTCCACTCCGCCCGATAGATCAATGAATTCAACGTCCCAAGTATAAGCTCTATACCAAATTTGAGGAAAATATACTGGGTAGTTAAATACTTATGGACGAGTGGATAATTATTCGAAATCGATAAATCACCCTGTATCTCCGTTATAGAGACTGTGAGACTCATCAAATATGGTATTTTCAGAACCAACTAAGCGACCCCTATCTACCATTGAAATATTTCTCTTTACCTATGAAACACCCTGTATATCGATCCCTGAAATATTTTCCATGCGGTTTAAAGCACCCTGTATACTGAGAATATTTCTAGAAAATTCTGAGGATGTTCTATATATTATTCATAGAATTTTCTGAGAATGATATTCTGAAAAATATTATGAGAACGTGCTTGTTCTTAGGATATATTCCCAGAACGTTCAATGCACCTTGAGAGAACATTCTGAGAATATTCGAAATCTTCCACGGGAATATTCTACAAACAATCTCAGAATCACTTTGTGCTGTCTGACATCAATAAAAATGAATGCCCAACTTACCTAATACAATCAACTGACTCCTATAAATGCGCTCTTTACTTTCAAATTGCCTTTGAACCTCCATAATCATAGTAGCATGTGTTTTGGCCATTGCTTCTTGCATTCCCTGACAAAATGTGTTTATCGTATGCTTTTCACTGTCCATGTTTCTTCTCAATTCGTCCATGAGCCCCTTCAGGGCAATTATACCATCTCGAACTGAAGTCTTCGGAAATAAATAAAAAAACACAAAACTTCCTGTGAAAAGGTTACAATTTCGACGAGTGAAGTACAAGGTTTTCAACATAGCGGTTTCCACGTTCCTGTCTCACTTTTCTGTAAAACTCAATATGGCCTAATCAGATTTTACATTGCAACTGTTTCCGTTCATAAGATACAGGGCAATTTTGAACATTCATACTTTTTGAACACCTTCTATAACTACGAAGAAAATTTGAACATTCATACTTTTTGAACATCTATAACTACGAAGAAAATATATCACATGATTGAATATGAAATTATTTCTGAGTGACATGCAAATTATCTGGTTACAAATTTAAATTATCGTACCCCATTATAGGGAGCGAAATAACCAGCATGAAAATGTTTTTTTTTATGTGACGGGAAAAAGTTTGAAATTTCATCTCTGTTATGAAATGGTTATAATAGTTATTTATGTATCAAGGGCGTAAAGTAGGCGTTTATGGCCTGTGGCGTGAATAATGGCCCGATGGCGCTAGCCGAGGGCCATTACACGCTGAAGGCCATAAACGCATTTCACGCACGTGATACATACAAAATTTTATGCACTAGTGGTCTATTTTCTAACTCAAAAGTAATGACTATAGATTTCGATAAGCTAATATTCCCCCGAATTTAATTTGTTACGTATAAATTCAGTTATCAAGAGAAGTGTAATGTTCATGTATGATTCACATATAAAAATCATCGTATGAATATTGCAATAATTATCGTAATAGTAAAACTCTTTGATCTCTAGAAGAGATTCATTCTCCAGAATTTTACAATTTGCATACCCAGTATATATTATATACCTAACTAATTTTGACGTTGTCAAGCAAGCTGATGCTTGTTGTCTATAGCAATACATCCAATCAACAAGCTGAATTGTCATTCTTTGACTGAAAAGTAAAAATTAATGACAATAATAATAGCGAGACTATGGAATCGGATAAAGAAGAAGTTTATGATATACCGCTGGATATATTAGAATCCAGGAAAACGATCATAGGTTTTTCATGAATTGATATGATGATATGAGAAAACTAAGAACAGCGGGCGGTAAAGTGCACTTTTCGGCCCGTGGGCCATAATGATCCCGTGGGCAGTAAAGTGCAACTTAACGCCCGCAAAGCCGGGCGGTAAAGTGCACTTTACGGCCCGCTAGTGCATAAAGGTTATAAAATGTCACTTTCAATAAATTACTTTTTTCCCACGAGAAAAAAGTGAGTACTTCTTTCCCGGATATATATCACATATGTTGATGGTTTCTGTGGTGCTATTGATCCGTAAAATAAGCCAATTACACCGTCCCCGAGAAAGAACTGCGGTTACGTAAATTACTAAACAACAACTCAATTCGCAATTTTCGAAAATCAAATCACAGAATTAGACTGGCGGATAGTTGATTACTTCAAAAGAATGATAAAGATGCCTGCAACGCATTCCTGTTAAATCAATTTTCACGTCGATAGGTTTCTGATTATTATAATGTAATATCTTCTCAATATAGTTTCGTCCTTTTTCCAGTCACAAAAACAATAGTGTATTATACACGGGAATAGGATTAGATTTTAGCTCACGGTTTTTTGTCACCCTCCGCTACACGTCGAGAGACCACAACACAACCTGGAGCTAAAATCTACTACTTTCCTTTTTATAATAATAGTTATTTATTATACAAGGGAAGAAAGTAGTAGATTATAGCTCCAGGTTGTGTTGACAAAAAACCGTTAGCTAAAATCTAATATTTTTTCCGTGTATAATACGCTATTTTTTTCTGTGACAGAAGAAAGGACGAATCAATATTGAGAATATATTACACAATTTTGAAATCAGAAAATTATCGACTAGAAACTTCAAGTTTTTAACAGTAGGGACACCTGCGTTGTAGGCATCTTTATCATACTTTTGAAGTAATCAAATGTCTGATGTCACTTCTATCAGTCTAATTCTGATTTGATTTCAAAAAATTGCGAATTTAGTGGTTGTTTAGTAATATACGTAACCGCGAAGTCGAATGGAAGATAAAAGGACTTGCAGTTCTTTCTCGGAGACGGAATTATTGACTCATATTTCGGAACTATAGCATAACAAAAGCCATCAACAGTGTATATATGTGATATATATCCGGGAAAAATGTACTCACTTTTTTCCAACGGGAAAAAAGTAAATTATGAAAAGTGACATTTTATAACCTGCCAACAGAGATGGAATGCCAAACTTTTTTCCCGCCACAGAAAAAAAAACTATTGTTAGACGTCGTACTTGTCATTTCCCTTCCATAATGGTGTATAACTTTCATATTTGTAACCAGAATACATGTAGCGGTTGGATGGTGTTAACGGAATTATTGCAGAAATGACTAAAAGTGCTGTCACCGCCCATGTAGGATACAATTTTTTTGTAAATTTTTGTAAATCTTATCGTTTGTGGAGTTTTTTACAATTATACAAACCATTTTTTCCAAAAATAGACAAACAAAATATTCCATCCAACGAATAAATTTACAGTAGAACAATATGATATAGAAAGGAATTACGAATATCTTCCTAATCGTTTAAAGGAACCCTTTCATACCCGGTATAGTCGAAATCGTTATGATAATTTCTAACCGATTATGGAATAAAATACGGGGTGTCCCGATCAAAAATCGGAATTCGGGGTCATTTCAGGTCAAACCGGAAGTAAGGTGAAGCAAGTAGATATGTCAAAAACTCCAATTGAACTATAATTCACACCTCCAAAATAATGTTTTACTACCTTCAATAATAAAAAAACTTAATAGGAGTGAGCCACCTTGAAAAATCACCGGTATAAATTTTTTCAGTACTTGAATGATGATAAAACTACTTCATTTATCTAACAAAAGTTTGGGATAGTTATAAATATGGAAATCAAAAAATCTCAATAAACTCGAAATAGAAACAACTTTCCTTAGTAAACTTTCAGGGATTAATTTGAAAAAATGTATCTTGACATGTAGTGAAGTCACATGACTCCGACCGAGTAGGCCATTTCCAATCATTTTTTATATGAATGACGCTGTATAGGAAGACTGCTATTACTGCAGCTAAATAAAAATGCAGAAATAATAAAAAATTCGAATATATTTTTCAAAAAACAAATATAATTTGGGCCATGAAAAAGTTATTTAACCAACTAGTACATTAATGAGGGCGATTAATGATCGAGATATTTTAACGTGCGAGCGAAGCGAGTGCGTTAATGTTCGAGATCATTAATCGCCCTTTAATATACAAGTTGGTTACAAAATTTTTCCGTCGACTATATTTCTCATTTCTCCTGCAATGAAGAAAACTTGGTTCGCCAAATCATCATCCATCCGGAAACTGCTAAGAATCACCCAGTAGCCTTGTTAATGACATTAGACACATTTGACATTTGTCGAAATGATCAACATAGGAAATATATTCCTTGTGTTAGAAAACAGGGATTAATATCGTGTCAGAAACTTGGAAAGTCGAACCCGTTAACGGAAAATCGTCGATGAAATCCATATTTTCGATTTAAATGCAGATTCCGTAAGTTATAGCACATACAATGAATGCTCACGGTGTATGTTTGGTTGCCTATAAAACAATCGTGTATTAATAGACAAATCGTTCATTAATAGGGGTCATTAATGAACGATTTCATATACATTAAACTTAGTCGTTAATACGAGGTCGACGGAAAAATAAAATAATCTAATACAAATGATAATAAAAAATACAAATGCAAATGTATTCGAATTCATCAGTGAGAAAAATGCCACAAGATTCAGCCACGACAACGCCAATACTTCAAGGCGCGCGCCAAACCACCAAAGGTCGTCCAATACTGATTAAAATGTTTTTTAGTTTGCTAACCTCACAGGACCTAATCTACAAAATAAAATATATTATTCTGAAATGAAATGACAACAATAAAATATAATAAGTAATTGTTTTTGATAATACTCAATTCCAGCATCAGTTATTACTTCATCATTTTCAAATCAAAATATTCCGAAAAATGTACACAGTATTGGCGGTCGTATAATAAATTTCTACTTTATGGAAAATGTCAAGATTTAAAGATGGTGGCACGTGGCTGATTTCTATAGGGAATGGATATATTTTTTTTTAATCAGAACATATTGTGGCCAGCGTAGCCTCGTGGTTGAAGCGTCAGTATTCTAACCACGTTGGATTGCCGGTAGGTGGGGTCGATTCCCACCACGACCGCAGAAATGTTTCTGATGGCCTAAGAAAGTGTCTGGGATCACACGCTAAAAGGTAGGACCCCCGTCATTCTTTGCTCGCACAAGTCTTTTGAAGACTTCTGAGGGTTGCTCGTAAGATGGCAACCAAATGATGGAAAAGAACAATTTCAGAACTTTTTTTTTGAACAACAATTGGTTATACAGGGTGCCCAAGATAAGGACGAACAGCATAGGGAAATATTCGAAAAAACCGGAGTCTGTCGCTTTGTTTTTTTTTCAAGATATTTGAAGAATTCCGAGGAAACCAAAGGCACTTTCTCATTTCCACTTTTTCACCTCTACATGGCACTCACAAAATCTCCGTACAACGTTTCGTTTCGAAGTAAGCATCATCAATTCCGTTTATATATAGCAGTAAAGCATTTTTTATGATTGAAGAAAGAAAAACATATTGTGCCGTACGTCGTTGCATTAACAATGAAAAATGCTACGCTATACTACTTTTTTATAGTGCCATATGAAAAAACAATGTTGATGATTGTTTCTTCAAAACGAAACGGTGCACAGAGATTTTGTGAATGCCATTTTGTAGAGGAAAAAAGTTTCAATGAAAAAGTGCCTTTGTTTTTTTCGAAATTCTTCTGGTAACTTAAAAAATAATAAAAATCAAATCGACAAACCAACTCCTTTTTTCAATATCTCCGGGAGTAGAGAACATGTTTGGAATGCCTCAACATCTATACAGGGTGTTTCAGACTTAAATGTACATACGATACCTGTAGATAGAGGACACTTCGGTGGTTCCAAATCACCCCCCATCGATATGTCTAACGTCTTTGATAACTGAGATACAGGACGTTTTCTTGATATTGGCAAAATCTTCATCTGGTTATAACTTCTGAACCACCTTGTATAATCTATCCATACTTGGTTGAAATATTTCACTTATATAACCCATCAAAACCAAATGAAAATCCGGATCAGAATCCTGGTCCGTCTTGAGGAAAAACAAGAATCTTCCTTTATCTTAAAAACAACACTCTGTATGGCAAAATTTTATTGATCGGTTTTGATATTTGGAATGAGCGGAAAAAAATTAATGAAGTGACCTACTGTTTACGAGTGCGCATCCAATTTTAAACATGGTTTATTATCATGTTTTGAAATATTTAGCTCCATTTCGAGGCATTCTTATTGAACTCATGATTCAAAACCCAATTTTTATACAGAAAAATAACAGTCTCCAGAGTTCAACATCATTAGAGTCAAATTAGGTGAACTATCGATAAATTTGTTTGTTTGACAGAATAATTTGTCGATGATTTTAAAAATTTTCGAGGACTCATTTTATACTTTACTATTTATTCATAAGCTGCGGTAAAGTAGGCTGTGAAGAAAAAATGAAAATTTTGACAGTTCATAATCACTATAGTTGCGATATTATTGGTAAAGTTATTGTAGGCACAATTATGAACACTTTGAGATGTAACAACCCAATACAAGCACCAGAAATAATTATCTTAACATTACCAATAATATCACACTAGTGATTATGACCTGTCAGAATATCAGATTTTTTTTGCACAGCCTACTTAACCGCAGCTCGTGAATTAATAGTGGAAAATAAAATGAGCCCTCAAAAATGTATGATACCATAGACAAGTGATTCTGTCACAACAAATCTATCGATAGTTCACCTAATTTGACTCTAATGATGTTGAACTTTGAAGACTATTATTTTTTTGTATCAAAATTGAATTTTGAATTATAAGTTCAATAAAAATGCCTCGAAATGGAGCTGAATATTTCAAAACATGATAATAAACCATCTGTCAAATTAGATGCGCACTCGTAAAAAGTAGGTCACTTATTTAATTTTTTTCCGCTCTTTCCAAATATCGAAACAGACCTACAAAATTTTGCCATACAGGGCGTTGTTTTTGAGATAAAAGAAGTTTTCTGGTTTTCCCCAAGACGGACCTGGATTATGATCCGGATTTTTATTTAGTTTTGATGGGTAATATAAGTGGAATATTTTTACCAAGTATGGATAAATTATACAAAGTGGTTCAAAAGTTATAACCAGATGAAGATTTTGCCAAAATCAAGATAACGTCCTGTATCTCAGTTAGAAAAGACGGTAGACATATCGATGAGTGGTGAATTAGAACCACCGAAATGTCCCCTTTCTACAGGTATCGTTTGTACATTTAAATCTGAAACACCCTGTATATTGGCCCCTCAAATGCGCAACCTTTTGCCCATTTGACCTTCTTGTAACTCTTAAGGTAACCGATATCCCCAATCCTCATGCTGTTCATCTCTATCCTGGGACACTGTATACCAAATCAACAATTGCCTAATCTGCAGTTAAAGAATCATATTCACGGTATTAAATTCCAAAATTAACCAGTTCAAATGTATCGAATATCAAGCCTTGGCATTAACGTGTGGCTCATTTTACTCATATTTTGAATTCTATACTTAAAAAAAACTGTTCAAAATAAGTTCCAATTATAAATGAAAATGTGAAAGAAAAAAAAACAATGAAATAAAAATATCAATTTCAAAATAATATATCAAAATTCATATTCAAGATACTTCCGAGAATATTTCGCCCCCCTCCAAAGATAATATCCGATGGAACAGTATAAAACTCAACATGTGGATTAGAATACTTGTAGTATGAGCCCCACATGAGTTTCACCCTGGTCCATCGGATATTATCTTTCGACGAGGCGAAATATTGACGGAAATATTGACGCTCTGCCAATATATAGTTTAAATCGGGGCACGTTTGGATATTCGCAAAAGTGACATTTTTTCCTTTCATTTGATTTTTGTTTCAACTCGTTATCACATGACGGAGTAATAGCAGCATGCCGTGGATTTGGCTCAGACTGAGGGGTGGTCCAGGTAGGTTTTTGAGATTTGCCATTCAATTGGTATCATGGAATATTTCTTATCTCCTTATCAAATCGAGAAATCGAGTGCGAATTTCGGCACAGGAAAGTGCAATTTTTAATTCATTTTGCTCGGGATAGTGATTGGAACAGGTGCCGTTCGATGAACTACAATGTTTTTACTTTCCTTTGAGACATATATCATTTAGTTATCAGATTACGGCATAAATCCTACTATTTATTCATCTATCAAATGGCGTTTGTTTGTTGATCATTTTATCATTTCGATTTGTAGATTGTGCGTTTCAAAACAAGGTACCTACATAAAGGGTGACTATTTTGCTACCATGGTAAATTTCCTTCCTTATTGATGACTATGGAGTATCTATGAAGTGTTTGCAAAATGAACCAACCTGCAAATCCATTATTGCATTCTGGCCTCTCTCAAGACGTTTGGATGCTTGGGCATGCGCAGTTTCAATATCGACGCACTGACTACGAATATCATTTGGCGAATCACGGAAGCAGTTTACGCATAACATGGTATTCTGGATGGGTGAAAACATTATGTAATGTTCTCCATGCTGAGGACACTGGAATGAGAGAAAAATATAGTGGAATAAGGCGTGTTCTTATTTTCATATGATGAATTTCTTGGGTAATGTCAAATGGATGACGTCACAGATGAATCGAAGAAGTGAAATTTTCGTCCACCGACATGTTACTATACAGGGTCAGAAACAAGACACACTCTAAGTTAGCTCCACAAATTTATTAGTACATTTCAGGAACAACTGAACATGTTTCGAACTATCAATAGACCATCATCAGCAGCATTATTAAAGAAATTTGTGGAAGTGAAACAAGGGCAACCGTAATATTACAGTCTGTAGGTTAATCAAAGAGGTGGTAGATTCATTTACTTGAATATTTGGGATTTTCTCTACCCGTTTCAATAAAATAAAAATATTAGTATTATTTCAATATATGTGTAGTAGGACAAATCAGATGATTTGCGCGAAAATGTCACTGCGCCCAACAAATTTTTCCATCAGGGAGCCTAAAAGAAAGGTCCAATAGCTTGTCAGTGAAACTTTGTTTGGAAAAATGTTTAAAGAGACGAAATATAGATAATATATTGAAAACATATCGAATTTTCACTCATCTTTGGACGTTTCGGGAACGAATCTGCTTCCGTTCTCAACATGAAAATGCAAAATAGTTTTCTTCGAAAATTCTGTTCATATAGTTCGACAAATCTTATAGTGACATACTGATGTTGACATATGGATGAGTCATGATGTTAGTATACAAATCAGTTACAGGATGTTTTCATTAGAGTCACTGTATGGTATTAGTTTGATAATTCGGACACAGCTGAACTTTTGTCCTTTTCTATTTTCTATAATACAATGGTTTAAGTGAATAAAAGAATAAGACATATATTCTGCTCTTTGTCTTTTCAATTTCCCTAGTAGCGCCTTATTGTCAGATACGATTTTAGAGGTTATATTTTCTGTCAAATCAATCATAGCCGTAGATGGACAATGGATATAGGGTACAAACACCCACTTCAATTCATAGTGATACCTACACTTCTAGCAGAGCAAGATTCATATAAATGAAAAAATGCATGTAACAACATTTTAATATCAGAGAATATATACATATGGATAAACTTATAGCTATAATTCCTTATTGTATGTGAAACTGTACTCCAGTGAAGTATTCCTGAGACAATTTTAAGAAATAAAGTCTATATAAGCTTGTGTCTGGAAATGCTTCATTTCGGAGATACAGGGTGTTGAAATACAGAGAACAAATCATTTTTCGATAAAGATGTCATGGGAACAAATAATTTATTTTGACGAGACCTACCAAATACTTGGTTTTGTTAAGTTCTCAGCAACTTCACTTAGCGCCCTAGGAGCTAAGTAACATGGATCGATATAGAAAATATCTCCAAAACGATAACCTCCAGCGTAATTAAGGCCCTTATAATAATTCCCTTGATACATAAATACCTATTAACTTTTCACTGTTGAATTTTCAATTCGCGGTCAGCACCAAAAACGCCATTCAATAATATATCACGTTGTAGTTCACTTGCTTTTCTGAGATTCGTTTTCAAATTTTCAATTTCATAATGTAATTTTTGCGATCATTTTCCCTTTTTCCATGATTATTTTGTTTTGTATTTTGTGTGATGATAATAATGGAATTTTGTTCTTGAAATCGTTTGCTTTGTAAATTGATAGAACAGAAGATTCTCTCAAACAGATTTTGAAATCTTCTGTTTGAAAATGGGCCTAAAATATAGATTCATTCTAATCAGATGCTGTTATAAGAAGTGAATTTCAATGAGTACCTCACAAATTCCGCTCGTCTTCAAATTGATTTTCCACCCAGGCCGTTTCATATCTTCCTTCCATAAGCGAATGCTTGATATTTGATTTGGAAAATCGAATAAATGATATCCATTTGTTTCATAATTGGCACAATTTATTACACAGCAAGTGATTTCCATAGCTGCTTTTATCTCGAAAGTATAATAATTATGAAATTTTATTTCAATTCTGACGTTTATAAAATGAATTGTCAAATTCAAACAATTTTGAATGAAAAATCGCGGGACGACCATGATGCTCTTGTCACAATGCAAGGTGTGTAACTTGATAAATCTAAACATTCAAAAACCCTAACCGTTGTCATTTCTGTGTCCGAACTCTTATCAAACTAATACCATCCAGTGACTCTAGTTTTCATTGATTGATCTTGCATCTACCATTTTCATGTTCAGTTTACAGTAATGAAAACCATGTTCTATCTATATATGTCAACTGAACAGGAAGCAATGCTATTGTCTCCGTTCAGAAGAATGCAAGTGGATTCCTTGATTTTTCTCTTTTGGTCAAGTGTGTCTTGTTTCTGAAACTTATTCACTCCACTTTGAGAAAATATGGACTTCTACCATATACTATACAGGGTGTTTCAGACTTAAATGAACATACGATACTTGCAGATAGAGGACACTTTCACGGTTTCATATCACCCCCTATTGATGTGTTTATCGTCTTTTATAACTGAGATACAGGACGTTATTTTGGCAAAATCTTCATCTGGTCATGATTTTTGAACCACGTTGTATAATCTATTTATACTTGGTAGAAATATACCTCTTATATTACACATCAAAACTAAATGAAAATCGAGATCAGAATCCAGGTCCGTCTCAAGGAAAAACAGAAAACTTCTTTATTTCAGAGGCAACACTATGAATGGCACAATTTTGTGGATCTGTTTTGATATTTGGAAAGAGCAGGAAAAAATTAATAAAGTGGACCTACTTATTACGAGCGCGCATCCAATTTGACAGATGGTTTATTATTATGTTTTAAAATATTCAACCCATTTCGGGGCATTTTTATTGGACTGTAATTCAAAATCCAATTTGGATACAAAACAAATAATAGTCTTCAATGTTAAACTTCATCGGAGTCACATTAGGTGAACTATTGATAGATTTGTTCGTTTGACAGAATAGCTCGTCAATGATTTTAGATATTCGAGGACTCATTTTATTCTTCGCTAATTATTCATAAGCGCCCATGAACTAGGCTATACAAAAAATTTCAAAATTCTGACAGATCATAATCACTAGTGTGATATTATTGGTAACATCAAGTTTATGTGTTGAAGCTTAATTATAAACACTTTGAAATGTGACAACCCAATGTACAAGCACTAACGACTATCTTATCCAAACATGTACCATAACTAAATTCTTGAATTCGGCTGATGATGATCTTATATAAGCCCGAAACAGGTACCTCTATGTGATCGATATCTGATTGTCAGATAAGTGTTGTGGAGATGACTTGAGGGTTTCTTCATCTATGAAACATACCACTCCACTTTGAGTTACCTTCCAAAGATTATCTTAACGTTACCAATAATATCGAACTAGTGATTATGAACTGTCAGAATATCAGATCTTTTTGCACAGCCTACTTTGTCACGGTTCATGAAATAATAGTGAAGAATAAAATGAGCCCTAAAAAATTTCAAAAACCACAGACGTTTTTCTGTCCAACGACCCTAATGATGTTGAACTTTGAAGAATGTTATCATTTTGTAAAATAATTGGATTTAAAATGACCCAAAATGGAGCATAGTATATCAGAAAATAATAATAAAACATCTGTCAAATCGGATGCGCGGTCGTAAAAAGTACGTCACTTCATTCGTTTTTTCCTGCTCTTTTCAAATATCGAAACAGATCTCCAAAATTTTGCCATGCAGAGTGTTGATTATGAAATAAAATTAGTTTTCTGTTTTTCCTCAAGACGGACCTGGAATCTGGTAATATAAGTGACATATTTCTACCAAGTATGGATAGATACAAAGTGGTCCAAAAGCTATGACCAGATGATGATTTTGCCAAAATCAAGATAACGTCCTGTATCGCAGTTATGAAAGACGGTAGACACATCAATGGGGGGTGATTTGGAACCAACAAAGTGTCCTGACAGGTATCGTATGTACATTTGAATGTGAAACACCCTGTATAGACCACTAATGCCATAACACAAGAGCTCATTCATTCACGAGATAAAACAGGATCCTATGGAGCATGCGCATTTTTAACTGGTCATATATCTCAATTACTTTTACCCATGTTGCTGAAAACTGAGTGATATAAGGCGATGTCATGCATGAATGTTTGAATCCTTCTGCGCCTCAGGCGAGCAATTTGGATGAGATTTTTAGGTTGTTGGGATATAACATAGACCGGTCTAGACAGTAGGTTATGTCGAGTATAGGACCGATTTGATGTGTAAATGACAGTAGCTTCGCCATTATGCAAAATTATGAGCAGACAAAAGACTAATCATTTCAAGAATAAATGCCCTTGTTTTTATGAAGTTCTGACCATGATGAATACACTTTTTAGTTCAGTAAACGAACGAAAAATAGAGGAAAAAAATCGTGTAGTCGCAAATTTTTGCAGAGTGGCAGGGGGAAGTGCAATGAACAACATACTAAAAGTCCTGACCCGTAGGGGATGAGCGCGATGGTGGGGGAGCGTTCTAAGGCCATTTTCTCAAGTTATTCTTGAATAATTCGAAAATCGCGACCTCTAGCGGAAAAATATAAGTATACAAAATTGAAGTAAATAAAATTTTCAATAAAAAAGTTTTTATTCACTTGTTGTCCACAATGGATAGTTTCTGAGATACAGGGGATGAAAAAATCGAGAAGTAACAAAAATAGAGTTTAATGGTATGGAATTGGTGTTTAACTTGAATATTAACAGAAAAAATGCATTACTCATTGAGAACAGACATAATTGAATGAATACGTTATGATAATATCAACAATTAATCATCATCTTCATCTTCATTTTCCACGTCCAGTAACGGTGCACCGTTCGTACACGTACCATGGCACATGCCGCACACCATGGAGCATGGAATTCCAGCTTTCCGACAACCACATCGTCACAACCACATCGTCCTCCACATCCAGTAGAACATCGGCAGAATATGCTGTTCAGTATCGCTTCAGGTGCTATTGGATCTCTGGTTGTCACTGGAATGAGCAATCCATCCTCTCCTCTGTTCCACCCCCACTCAGTCGGGGGTAGAGGATTGTCGAGCCATTGCTGTACCTGTATATTATTATTAATATTATTGTAGAGGCATGATACGGATTGGATTGAATTATTATACCTGTAAATAAACTCTGAATGGGTGTTGTTGCGCTGCTCCTATGGTTGGTGGCAGTGAGGCGAGATTTGGTTTTGGCTTTGTTGATGCATTCAAGAATGCAGCATACCGAAGTCTATTCAGATCCTGTTGATCTGCAGTCACTTGGTACATTTCTAAAAATATTTTCTCGCCAGTCTGTGTAACTTTGTCTGCTTGTGTCGAGGGTTTGGTGAAAATGTCGGATATTGTCTTCATTTTCCTAGAAAACTTGCTGAAGAGCTTGACAATTCCACCTTTGCTCTTATTATAGATGGCTGAGGTGGTGTCACACCCACTGAAAGCATGTAGAAGGAGAATAGTTTCAGCAAAAGGAAGTTTTTGGAGTTTGTTTGTTGAAAACAATTTGGATTCCACTTTGCCCCTGCCGGGTTTCATGAAGGATACGTTACTTCCTGGTCGTGCAAAAGCAAATAAAACAATCAAGTCGACATCTTCTCCTATTATTGTGACAGTGGGATGTAGGGCAGCTTTTTCTAACCCACATCTCACTATTGTGCCATCAGCATCCCCTGTAGCAACTACTGTTTCGATTCCTCTTGCTTTCATTTTTTCACTGAGGAGTTGTATGAGCCTAGTTTTGTTCTTATCATTAGCTAGAAAATGTTCCTGCCGAACAGTGACATTCATGCTATCATTAAAATGTTTGTCGTCTGAAGTTTTCGTGAGACGCCTTCTCTTTTGCTCGGCTCGTTTTGTATTGTTGGGGTCACCATAACCATCGAAAACGACAGTACAGTTTTCACCGTAATGTTTGCTGACAACATCACACTCACAAATCAAACACTTTCCAGCCATTGTTCATAGGTAACTTTTGCAGGTAGAGTACGTATTTGACAGACGATTGAGTAATCAATTTATTCATATATATGGCAACGTAGATACGAACAAAGTTAGCTGAGTTGATTCATTAAAAAAGTTTATGCTACCAGTCCTTATTTTTATAGTAAACGCCATCATTTGATGAGAAGCAGTCTATAGGTATACATTTCATGAAACGCAGGACAATAGTGACACAACAAACATGAATTGCATATCAGTAAACTCTATTTTTTATACTTTTCGATTTTTGTTTCTCCTGTATCTCAGAAATTATCCATTGTAGACAACAAGTGAATAGAAACTTTTTTATAGAAAATTTTAAGTAGTCCAATTTTGTATACCTATATTTTTTCGCTAGAGGTCACGATTTTCGAATTATTAAAGAATTGATTGAGAAAATGACCTTCAAACACTCCCCCACCATCGCGCTCATCCCCTACGGATCAGGACTTTTAGTATGTTGTTAATGACACTTCCCTTTACCACTATACGAAAATTTGCGACTACACGATTTTTTTCCTCTATTCAGCCTTTTTTAGTGTTCGTTGATTGAACTATTTGGTTTTCTAACAACTTGTTAATTCTACTTGTTTTACGGTCAACTTCTACGGAAAAAGTCACATCATTATATGAAGTTTTCAAAGTAATTGAACTATTACATCAATTATCGATCATATGATAGGTGGACCAGGTAGCCGTGCAGACAGAGTGTCAATATTCTAATCCGCATTCGCTTGCCGCTCGTGGGTTCGATTCTCAGCGACTGCAGAAATTTTTATGATGGCCCAAGAAAGTGTTTGGGATCATACGTTAAAAGGTAAGGCCCCCGTCATTCCTTGCTTGCACAAGACTCTCGAAGACTTCTTAGGGTTGCTTGTATGAGGGCAACCGAATGACGATAGAACAATTTTACAACACCAACAATATCGCTGTTAGTATCCTATTTTATCACCGGCGTAGTCAAATTGCATAACCTCCAACAGTTTCCAGTGTTTTCACCTTCAGGCTCAGTCAACACAACCGTGAAATATGCCGAGCAACACTCTACCAAAACTCGTTCGACTATAGGACTGTGAAGCTTTGGAATTCTTTGCCAATGGAAGTATAATAGTATAATATAACCTCCGAAAGTAAAAAAAAAATCCAACACCTACCTATCCTTCCTAGGTGCGCACGATGTTTCACGAACATTATAGGAATTTCCTTTCGTGCGCTCCAAGAGATGAAAAAAAAGCCAATGTGTCAGATAATAATTCGATTCACTCAAGCGATGTGATATATATCAAAGTAGGCAATCAAGTGATAATGGACGCCAAGATAGGAATAACTACCATTACTACATTTTATCAATGTTTTATATGTACAGGGTGGGCCAAATTGGACACTTCCAAAGGGAAAGTCCTATTCCCGGACTAGATAGAACAAAACTGATGTAGGTACCTGTAGAGTTAAAAGAGGTTTTTCGAAAATATGAATCTTGGAAAAGTGGCTGAAACTCATTTTTTTGTCGAAAATTCTTCGTTTCCATAAAAACATTTCCAAAGCATTGTGTTTGTCATGAAAATTGATCCTCAGGCACCTGGTTTCGCTACATAGAACTTTTCCTTCAAGATGAACAAGTTATATTCTTGAACAAGATATAGGAAGGCCGATTTCAGTACCTCAGGATTGCTTGTTATCACAAAAATGCTTTCCAGTTATTTTCATGACAACATACAATTTTTGACAAAAAATATATATGTAGCCACTTTTTAAAAATGCCCATTTCCGAAGAACACCTTGTAACTCCGAAACGAAGACAGATATCGATATGCGGTTTCCACCATTGAGTTTTGCATGAGAATCGTCCCTCAGGCACCAACATCAGTTTTCTCTTATCTAGTTGGAGAATAGGACTTTCCCTTTAAAAGTGACCAATTTGGCCCACCCTGTACATGAGTACATTTACATATAGGTAATACATGTTACAGAAGTGAATCGATGTGTTTACCTTTTTCGGTTCTTTCATACATTTCGTCATATGAACTACTTCATGGCTTGAAAACATTTTGGCTCTATGGGTATTATCTCGGCATGTTAAACACAAAGCTTGACCTGAAAAGATGGTTCATGAAAATGAAGAACAGAATAGAATTATATACTTTTTTGCAGATATCACATTAGCACAAAGATTATAGATCGAAATAGTCATTTATTATACAAGAGAAAAAAGTAGTAGATTTTAGCTCCAGGTTGTGTTGTCTCCCGACGCGTAGCAGAGGGAGACAAAAAACCGTGAGCTAAAATCTAATATTTGCCCTGTGTATAATACACTATTTTTTTCTGTGACAGAAGAAAGGACAAATCAATATTGAGAAGTTATTACATTATTTTGAAATCTGAAAATTATCTACGTGAAATTTTAAGTTTTCAACAGTAGGGACACCTGCATTGTAAGCATCTTTATCATTCTTTTGAAGTAATCAAATATCTGATGTCACTCCTGTCAGTCTAATTTTGTGATTTGATTTCGAAAAATTGCGAATATAGTGATTGTTTAGTAATATACCTAACAGCGAAGTGGAATGGAAGATAAAAGGACTTGCAGTTCATTCTCGGAGACGGTATTATTGACTCATTTTTCGGAACTATAGCACAACAAAAGCCATCAACAGTGTATATATATGTGATATATATCCAGGAAAAAAGTAATTAATGAAAAGTGACATTTTATAACCTGCCAACAGAGATGAAATGCCAAACTTTTTTCCCGTCACAGAAAAAACATCATTTTTTAATAGCTTCAATATACAAGGTGTCCCAGAACAACGTACCATAAATACTACATGGTGAAATGGAGACCAAAATAGGCCGATTGAAATCTACTTACCTCTTATGCGACAATGCACCGTTGAACCGTTACTGCTCTGAAATTCGTAGGGCAAATTACTATAGTGGATGTGCATGGAAAACATGTCGTACCAATTCAATCAATATACAAGGAGTTCGGTATTTCGCATTCTCTTTGATAAAAATTAATTTGTTTTGCAAGTTTTTGCCTCATTTATGTTGAGTTATTCACCACAATTATCATGTATATGAACTATTTCAGCACATGATAATGTTGTTGATCATCTTCAAATTTATGTATTTTTTCACGAATGAAGGTTTTTTGCCAGAAATCTTGAACTGATATTTGGAAATGAACAGCTCCCAAATCATATGATGAGCTTGCGAATTGGTGAACATGAATATTGCGGTCAATAACTCAACACAAATGAGGTACAAACGAGCAAAACATAATAATTCTAATATCATAAACGAGCCCTATGGAGAAGCACCAAAAGGAATTTTGTTATTTATCTGGAAAACCAAAGGAAATAATAAAAAAATTGCAGTTAGAAAAAGTATTTTAACATTCTTTGAACTATCAAAATGTGGTCATTGCCGTACTCCACAAAAGTGACATTAATTTTAATCAAAGAGAATGGGAAATACCTAACTCTCTGTATATTGATTGAAATGGTATGACATATTTTGCACGCACATTCACTAAAGTAGATTGTTCTACCAATGTCAGAGCAGTACCTTTCAAGGATTTCAAAATATTGAAAAAATATCTGGAAATATTTTTGTTTTCATTGCCCTCTCAAGACTCAACTGGCATTTTCGTGTGGAGGTAAGTTGATTTCAATCGGCCAATTTTGGTATCTAGTTCACCCTGTAGAATTAAAGGTACTTTGTTCTGAGACGCCATCAGTATTGAGGTAATTTCTACAACTACAAAAAATAAATAAAAATGGATGCAAACACAAACCTAAATAACAGAAAACTTGAATAATATAAGAATTTCAGTAATACCACAGGTATTGCAGTAAAACATGTTGGATCTATCACGTTTATCACAATTGGAACATGGTGGATTTTCACTATTAGCTATGTCAATCAACTGTCGCATTAATAAATCTGGTGTAGGTAATGTAGTTCCATCCTTTAAAAGTGTGGGCTGCCTGAAATTAGAAAGGTAGGAGATAATACAGCATGTTACAATAGTAGATTGTTTTATTAGGACACTTGTTTGACAAGCGAATTTTGCATTTGCGAGTCACACAAAGTCACTTTTGATCCGAATGAAACATGCTATTTTTTCTGCAACCGAAAGAATTAACTGAAATAAATATGTGAAGTAACCACCAATGTGACTCACTTGACAGATTATTGTAATTCCTTTATTATAATAACTTAGGTGAATAGATAGAAGCAAGGCCTCAGACTACTTTACATTAGAATATTGGTAGACGATGACTTCACTTTGTTACAATTTGAGTTGACATACATCATCAGATACTACAGGCACGAATTCAATACAATACCCGAAACGTGGATGCCGTGCCATATGTATGCAATGCAACAAATAATCCATGTGGTGAGAATATTCTACCTGCATTAACAGTAGGTTCATTCAATTTTCAAGGATGTTTGAATTGTACTTTCAATATAAATACAACCACAGAGTGACATATTTGTGTATGGACCAGCAATACCGCGCCAGTGTCAGGTATAGGAACAAGACGTGGAAAATGTTAGGTTAGTGCCCATATCACCAATTAGGCATTCCAAATCACGTGACCCAAGATGGCTCACCCTTGTCTCCATTTCTCTACAATATATACTGTTTCGACATATTCAATTGGAACAATCAAAATCTACAAAATCCAAACACATTCATCTATGCCAATCTATGGCATACAATTTGCTGATGATACAGCCATTATAAGTCATCATAAATCACTTGAAAAAGCAGTTGAAGAGTTACAAAACGCAATTCGGAATACTATGAGAGCTAGCCTGAGAGCCATTACCAAAATCCGGCACCCTCAAAATCCCCTTCACCATCCCTCAAACGAACTTCTATATCGGCTGACCAGGGTGCAACCAATTTCTGAGAGACTGAAAAAGCTAACATTGAAGTTTTCCAAAAACGAATCCAATCTCCAAATTATCCAATTTCAGTGTTGACAAAGAGATCCAACAGTGAACCCAAGACGGAAGTTTCCGGAAAACACACTATTGGAATGCTTAATCAATTCAAAAGACTGAAATTCCTTCAAAATTCTTGCCTCACAATAGACTTTTCTTCTTTTTTTTTACACTAGCAAATTTGATAATTCCATATATCTTGTACATACAATAATGATGAATTTAAACTCAATGTATAATCACTGTGTAACACAGGCTGAAGGACCTCGGTCTGTAGCCTTTTGGGTATCCATTAAAGCTCTTGAATTATTATTATTATAAACCGTGTGATGAGAATATTCAACCTGCATTTACAGATCAGGTTCATTCAATTTTCAAGGATGTTTGAATTGTAGTTTCAATATAAATAAAACCACAGGGTGACTCATTTGTGTATTCTATTGAATCGATGAATTGATTTGGACCAGGTGTCAGCCCAAATAGCAAATACCGTGCCAGTGCCAGGTATAGGAAAAAGAAGTGGAAAATGCTAGTTTAGTGAGCATATCAACGATAATAATGGCGATTATTTATTTCTCCCCATATTCCACTGTGTTTGGCTCGGTAATCAGATAAAGATAAACAATATCGTTGTGCAAGAAAAAAAGTATTGCTGACCGTGATTATTCAGAAACAAGTTATCCAATCAATCAGATCCCGAGAATGAATGAAATACAGATCAAGCAAGTATGTGAATCTTGAAGGCTTTCCTGATAAAAAAAATTATTAACTATAATATGGTGTATTTATATCTCCAGCATGAGTATAAAATGCCAAATCTTCTTGATGACCTAGTACATCCTTTTTAGTTCCTAGGAGCTGAGTTGAACTTTAGCTCCTAGGAACTAAAAGTGTTGCCTAGAAACATACCTATGTTTGTGTCAGTAATAGAAATGTCAATATGAGAGCTAATGTTGGTATTAAAATGGAAGACTTTTGTGTTGGTTGCAGAAAAATTAGCTTTTCACCATTGGGATCAAGTGAATCTAGAGAGACATTTTCGTATAGAGGTTTTTTAATTTTTGACAGATAATTAATGAAATTATGTTGTAATCATACAAACTTCTTTTTGTTCATTGGTTGTAGATCAGGATATGTTTCATTGAATTTTCTGCATGTTCTTGCTATAATTCCCTCACATTTTCCATCAAGCATCAAGAATAAACAATTCAATCAGAACTTCCTTTGAATAGTTATTTTCCTTTATTTCAATTCTTTTTTAGTCACTTCCGTTGAGAAACACACAAGGGTATTATTACTTGCTCCTATCTCGGAATTCTGGCTATTTAGGTATAGGAACATGATATATCTATTTGAAGGGAATTTAGTCATCTTTCAGGATATTTTATAATATACAGGGTGTTCCATTGAAAAAAACGCACTTACAACCCTTTTTGTATCTAGCATTAAGATCATGAATTTTGAACGACCCTGTACAACGCAGAACAAACTTCTCTCTACAGAATCAATAAACATGACCTTGATGAACTAAACACAAAATTGCAACTTCCTAAGAATCCAAATACCGCAGAAATATACATTCAATTTCGAGCTATGTTTTGGATAAAAAATATGCAAAATAATCAATATCTCAAAAACCGTTAGAGATAGGTATAGGATAGTATGGAGCAGAAATAATCAGGAAGTGATGATAAGTTCAAAAATGCGGTAATATACAGGGTGTCCTATTTGAAATAACAAAGATGCAGCTACTTTCTGGTATAAACGGCAACGCTGCATTGCTGAAAATATTTCAGATCGATAGATCAAGAGCAATTACCTGAGTAACAAAATTTTCAGAATGATCTTATGTCCTGTTCTCCGTAAACGTCTAAGGTGCCATTGACCGTGACCCACCCTGTATATCATATGCTTTTGATATAAGAATATCTTTCAGTTTGAGTTTGAGTTTTTTTTGAGGCAATAATATGAGCAATATTGGTAGGTTATTAGTTTTCATATTCAATAGGTGATACTTTTGTCTCATAATGATATCTAGTATATCCTGCAAATAAGTCCATGTTTTTGGCAACAAATGTTACTGACTCATATATTATGAGATGTGTTTGGGATCACATGTTGAAAGGTGAGACCTCCCCATCATTCCTTGCTTGAACAAGTCTCTTGAAGACTTCCAAGGGTTGCTTGTAAGGGGGCAAATTTCCATTAATGTCAATATTCGTATCAACCCTAGCCCAACTAGTCTATGATGTTCATAATGATATCTAGTATATCCTGCAAATAAGTCCATGTTTTTGGCAACAAATATTACTGACTCATATATTATGAGATGTGTTTGGGATCACATGTTGAAAGGTGAGACCTCCCCATCATTCCTTGCTTGCACAAGTCTCTTGAAGACTTCCAAGGGTTGCTTGTAAGGGGGCAACTGAATGATGGATAAGAACAATTTTAGAACAATAAGAACAATATCAGTCATTATTTTCTTTCTTATGAATAAAGTTTTACAACTTTAAGTCATTTTATGTATCTCTTTTGTAATATAAAGATGATTATACATAAGCATTATAGGACAATAGAGCAACTTCTGGGAAAATATGTAGTGAAATAACTTTCAAGGCATAACTATAACTGGATATACTGGATGATAATTTTTCAATATGATATTTCTGATGAAAGAATGAAATAAAAGTGTCTAAAAGGATAAGGGCCTGCCAATTTTCAGACTTGATCTGTTATTTTAGTCACATTTTCAGAATATCTTTTTTCTTTGTAGCTTGGAGAAGGTGAATTTTAGGACACATGTTTAGATGAAGAAAAATCTTATTTTGATCCCAACAATATGTCCTTTAAATTTTCATCGAATTTTGAATCACCTTGTATATCAGATAAATACCCTGTTCAAGATAATAGTTAAATGAAATACAAAAATTGATTTGAATGCATAAATCTAGGCATAAATGGTTGAATGGACATCTAGGGATTGTGACATTTGTTGTATTGCTGAACTTGCTAGTTGATTTATTTCCCATAGTTGTCTTGGTTAATGGCATGAAGTAAACAGTGAGTCATAGAAAAAAATCAAGTTCAGCAGGTAGAGCAAGCACAAAGGAACAAAACTCAGTGTGCATAAATCTACCTCAAGTTGCAGAGAAAAGGAATGGAAATTATGGAAATATAGAGATATGAGTGATCATGTAATCATGCTCTTTTTCTATTTTCAAGCTATGAGGATGTTACAGATAGGTCTAATAGGGTAAATTGTAATTTCCAAGAATACATCAATATCAGAGTAATAAAAACTCAACATTAAATGCCCTCTTGGTTTATCAACCCTACAAGTTGAAAAAAAAATATGACATTCTTAATTCTCACCTGCAAAAAGGGCAAATCAAGCGACGATCCTGTTCTCTTCCCCTCAGACATCTTGCACAAAAAGTGTGATAACAACTCAAAATGCAGGGTTCTGTGAAATAATCATGGCAAATGGGACACAACAACGGATTTTTTGGAAACTCTAATCCACTTTCAATTCCTGGTGGTTCCATTTCCACACTACAAGTACTTTTGAAAACAAAAATCAATAAAATCAATAACCAAAAAACATAGTCAAACTGGCTTACCCTATAAAATAGATAATTCCGAAATTGTCCTGAAGAATCAATTTATTATAGGTGATTATTATTCTCTATAATCTATATTTTGATATCTAAAATCAGGACTATCAGCACTATCAGCAAATCAGGAGCAGGATTAGCAGGAATATGGGACGACGACGATGGGAGGATGGGAGGGAATCAAAATTCAAACAATCAAAATCAAATCACATTTTTTATTTGACATTAGTGAATGTCATTGGTTTGACGGCTGAAGGATGTATAATGTTGGTAGTGTATAGTGACTCGAGATAACGGTTCCGTTCCAGAATATAATGCATTCGGTTCTAAAGCGGCACGGGTTCCACTTTGCTTTGAGACATCCGCATGCGTATAACGTGGACCGCTCGGAGACCATGTATAAGTTGTTGTACGTCTACGATAGCCAGTGAGCTACGTATGTGCTTTTCTGAGCACTGAAGAGACTTTTCATTTTTCATTTTTTACCGTTAACAAGCAAATTTCTATTAATGTCAATATTCGTATCAACCATGTATCAACCCTAGCCCAACTGGGTTCACCTCGGGGATTCCTTATTCTAGGGAGCATGGCTTCAGGAAATGAGATTCATTAACTAGGACTCAAATCACAAAAAAAAACACCCCCCAGGCTAACACCAGCCAACTCCACACTGCGTGGAGGATTATTTTATTCAACTTTTATCAAATATGTTCGTTGTGCTTGATATTGTTCATGTAATTGGGAAAAGATAGAATAAAATATAACTCCGAAGTGTGTGCGTTTAGATGGAGAGATACTGGGTTCAAATAACTACTGAACATACAATTTTTTTTCATGAATTATTTTCCTTCCTTCCTGAAAAATGTACTGTGGAGGCAGGCCGATAATGATCGATTCGCTATTTCAATGGTGTTTTGTTTAGGTTCGGCCGTGAGCGAATTTCCATTGTTCGGAAGTGGAATCCGTGTGTAGCTAGCCGCCTGTATTCGGTTCTGCCTTTTTTTTCGGTACGTTATTTCCCAGCTAACAATACGAGGAACTGAATATCTCTGTGATATCACCAAAAGATGAAGATATTAATGTGACCTTTATTAGGGACATCAATCGAACACAAGCCAATGATGTTACACAGACGTATGTAATCGGTGACATGATCCTAATATATGATTTGCATATCTATGATACATTGTATCTTCACACGTTCTGACTGTTCTGTTATTCTGTGGTTCGTATTTGCTTTAATATTTAATGTGAAGTTTTATTAAGTGTGTGTGAGAAATATCAGGCTCTTTTATCTCTACGCCGGTATAGAGGCTGGATGATGACGGATTCAGCGGATAAGGGGGCCATACTTGAAGTCAAACCTGCTCCATTGTCTCTACGCCGGTAACCAGGCCGGATCAGCAACGGATTTGCTGGATAAGAGGAGTACATACGATCAAATCTTATGAACACTGATGACTCGGCTTCAGGCCATTGTGATAGACAATTGGTGTCTTATGTGGTGAGTCGAGTGATAATATTATTACACAATCAAGTATTTATTCTTGAAAAAATTAATTACCTGATCTGGAGAAATTGTTTCCGAAAGAAGACAGAAATGCAATAAACCTAAGCGATTTCATTTGGGGTGCTCAAAGAGTGAACATACTCAAATCTAAAATTCCTTATGCCTAGGAGGTCAGTCGGCGGAGGGAGGGGGGAAGGTTCCGCTTTTAGGTTTGTAGCTTATATGTCGAAAACGGTTCGTCGCAGAAAAACAATTTCTCATAAAAAATTAATGCAGATAAATTCTCTACAAATTACTTTCTATTCACATTTTTCGAATCCTCCTCCTGAAGAGTGAAGATGCTTAACATAGCGAAACACGTGTCGAGGCGTATAAAAAATAATCGGCTTGGTTAGTGGTCAAAAAGTGTAGTGTAAACTGAATTATATCATTGAGTATTCAGTGTACATAATCAAGGATCAAGGGTGCCGTACATTATGCTATTTACCAGCAAGTTCGATGCAATATAATTTTGAATCGAACAATGCGTATGCGTCTATGATATTTAACCGCAAGTTTCATGTAAGTTTCGTAATAGAACCAGTCCTATTTTTCCTGCAATTTCATGGCAAGTTTAGTAAAATTTTTAGTAATATTCATCGTAGCATCTTGATAAAATAACAATTTTCTCCATAACGTGGCCTGAAACACCAATGTACCCATTGAAGGCTCAAAAAACATGAAAATAGTTAATATGAACAAGAAAATATGACAGAAATATCTCTATGTACGGCGACTCGCTATAAATTGAGAAAATTGCGAGAAAATTGCATTGCTTCAATCTTGCCGAGAAATAGCATAATGTCAAAGAGGAACCTATATTCTTTGATAATGTACGGCGCCCTTTATATACACGAGTGCCTTCAGACTGTTCCCGTATCGCCATCCAATATTCTGGCTCCCAACGCAGACTGTGCAAGTGTGCATTGCTGTGCACCATGGGGATATATTAAATATTGAAACGCCTGTTGTGAGATTATACACTGCCTAAATACATTTGACATAATGACATTTCTAATTATTTTTGACATTGACAACATTGACATATTCAAATTCTCAAAAATCTCAAACATGTCACGAAAAAGTCACTGACTATTGATATTGAACGTTGAGTTGCGATTCTGAAATTTGAATATTTTTATTTGTGATTTTCAGTTTCAATAAAGATTATGGAAATAAAATGACAGAAGAAACCAGAAATCCTGAAGAAGTATTGAAAGGCTTTCAGATGTATCCTTTTTTCTGCAACAGTCTTGAACCTACATCAGAGAAGGCTTTCCTTAGTACCTATGTATGTATTTCTCTTCTCAAGATAAAATAATTGAATACAAAATAAGAATTCGAAACTCAAGACAGGTCTTCTGAAACCAGTCCATCCGGAACAATTTACCTGCAGTAAGTAAAAGAGTGGTTGTTGCACCAGGGGCTGTCAAGTTCTAGAGTTTCTAAACATATAAATTTGGTTGTCCTCAAAAATATAAAGTAAAATCATGACATACACTAGCTATACATCAACTTCCTCAATCTGAAATTCCTTTACAAATGAATAAATAAATTGTTTTATGCTTTGAATTGTAAAGTTGATATATTTTCCATTGTATGGAGCACTCACCAAAACTTGGCATTTTTTCACTTTTTGAAGTTATCTGACATTTATTTGTATTGTATTCATTGTACTGTGTAGTGATGAATGTTTTTAGAGTGATAGGGGGAAATGCAGTGAAGAATATACTGAAAGTGTTGACCCATAGCAGTTGAGTGGGGCTGTAGGGGACAACTGTTTGAAGGCTATTTTTTCAGGTTGTTCTCTGGGGAAGGGGGGGTGAAATACCTGTTCATTTTGTTGGAAATACTGGCAATTATCAGGAAATATGAGAAATATTCAGGCAATACACAATATTTTCAAAATACAAGAAATACCTTAGAAATATAAGCAATATAAAAGGAATTTTGAAGGGAATACAGGAATTGTTTGGCAATACAAGCAATATTTTGGGAGTAGAGACAATATGAAGGGAATAAGGGAATATAGGTAATATGAAGGAAATTCAGACAATTTGTAGGAAACCCACAATACATAGTCAATAGGAGCAAAATTTTGGAAATACAGGCAATATAAAGAGGGAATACAGGCAATATGGAAGAAATACAGGAATTTTTTAGGAAATACCAGTAATATACATTGGCCATACATGTAAATATGTCTCTATTGTTTTTAGCTATATTATGTTCCCAGTTATGTTCATTACTATTCTTAAACAAGTTCTGAGTGCATATGAGTCTAATCGAGAGTCTAATATAGTGCACCATTGAGTAAACCTTCATTATTATTATTATTATAATGTGTAAATGGACATTTTTTCAAAAGAATCCCCTGTGTATTGCATATTTCAATAAATTTGTTTTTGTGATATCAAAATGCATGACTTATATTTTTTTACTGTCATGCATGTGGGAAATAAGTAGAGTGAATATCTCAAGAATGAGAAAATATACTTTCAGGACTGACTGAGAAAACAATATTGCATGGATGATGATATTCCATAGGGTATTCTTGAGTAAGGGTGATCTATAAAGGAGAACTTAATTTTGGGATGCTGTTAATAATTCAATGTTGATGATAATAATCTACCTATTGTCATTTATTTTTATATAAATTACCTTCACTCTAAGAAAAATTTCTATCCTAGTATTTCTTTCCCTACATTTTCTCGTCATTCAGAAGTAGGCCATATTTTGGGAATATTTCTAGACAGGAAATACATGTAAAATTCTGGGATTCATTGGGAATATAGGCAATAAACAGGAAATACCATCAATACTGATTGTATTGCACAATAACAAGGAATACTGGAAGTATATTCAATATTTCCTGAAAGTATTATAGATTTGGCAACACCTGTACGTTTTTCAACCAGTGGTGAATAATTCGAAAATCGCGGCTTCTGGCAAAAAAAATAAGGTATACAAAATTGAACAACATGACATTTCCGGAAATTTACTATAAAAAAGTTCCTATTCATTTTTTGGTTACAATGGATAGTTTCTGAGATACAGGGGATGAAAAAATCAGGAAGTATCAAAAATAGAGTTTAATGGTATGAAATTGCTGTTTAACGTGAAGAGTAACAGAAAATAGTTATTCATGTACCAAGGACAAAACACTGTCCATTTTAGTGGAGTCTGCAAACAAACACTTTCAAATAAATACAGAAAAGCACGAATTCACCTCCACACAATGTTCATAAAATAAACAACAATGGTAGTTTTCCGGAGAAAAACAACTACTTTCCTGGCTAATGCCACGCAGAACATTGAATTACATCCTCCCGAAATTTATGCATTGACTTGTATAAACGAATACTGTTACAAGTGATTATTTACTGAATGCCTATTGATTTCGATTTAGCCAAGCCACGGTAGACACCTACAGACTGGTTTTGACCTCTTTGAATTTCATCAGTGTAGGGCAGTCTCCATCCAGCAGTCTTAAGACCGCCGACTAAGCGTAGCCTAGCCAAACAAAAATATCTATGGAGGACGCCTCTGAGGGAAATAGAAGCAAACAAACAAACAAACTCAGTATGCCCGACATTGTAATGTCTGGCACCACCACCTCCACCAAGCCCACCATATCTATGCTCGATATTTCCATCAGCAGCACTCTTTCATGGGATA